ACTTGACATTATGTCAAGGTTGAAGCGTTCGGCGAGTTCCAAGGACTTAGAAGATTGAGAAGACCAAATTCTAAAGAAGAGACTTAGCGCCATCAATAACCACCTTTGACGAGAAGGCAATTACTAGTCGCTAAAGAGCATTTACAAACATGGGACAATTGGTTTTCAGCAGTTTTCAATTAATGACGACGTGGCAGTGCATTCGACGATTAAGTTACTTGTCTTTGAAGACATGTCGATTCTCTAGGATTAAATTGTCGAAGACGGTTATTTTTAGTTTAGTATATATAGCAATTTCATATGTTGTAATCAGGATCGAAAACCTCATATACTTTATGTATAGAATAGGAGTACTCGAGTCTAAGTATGAAATAGCTTGTGGGTAACATGTGAGTCTGCGTCCCTTTTATTGTATCATCTTTATATTTCTTTAATTGAAACATCTTTACTTTCTGTCATTTATTGTATTTATTTAATGATGTTTATTGCAAGGTTCTTTTACTTTAATTCAATCATTTTTGTCTCTAAAGTTTGTCTTTATCATGTCCGCACACAAACATTCATAGTTACTTCATATACATATTTTCTTATAAACGTGTTTTCACATAATTGCTCCCAGAATTTTTCGAGTTAATCTCGCAGACTTTTAAACTCGTGATTGTTCTCTAAAAACACTTGCGAACACTTACTAAATACCTTTTCAACACTATATATGATATTTTCCAAAGTGTTTGCTTGGTAAGCAGGTTCCTATAGAAACTTAGATAATTTCATCTACTAGAAACTAAAAGAATCATTGGATACATGAAAGGCACTACAAACCATTGTGTACACATAAATCAGAAGAATAGTATAAGGGAGACCAATGCATATTATTTTAATTTGTATTGGGGAGGAGATTAAGATGACAATAAAAGTATAATAGGTTGCTTGCTCGTGATTGAGGAAGTTCCAATTTCATGGAGCTCAAAGAGACAATGGATGTTGGCTTTTTCATCTTGTGAGGAAGAATATGTTGCAACCTAAAATGCAGCTTGCCAAATATTATTGATGGGAATGTTGTCAGAAGAGTTAAAGTTTAATGAAGCTGTGAAAATCAAACAATTGTTTGATTAAAAAAATCAATGAATTACTGAATGAGCAAGCATATTGAGAGAAAATATCATTTCCTAATAGATCAAGTGAGCAAGAACATATTAGATATTGAATATTGCAAGAGAAAGTTGCAACTTGTAAATATTTGGACCAAGCCACTGAATGACAATAGTTTATTGCTTGAATGAGTTAATAGGCATAAAGAAGATAATTGATGTGAATTAGGAAGAGTATTGAGAATGTAATTCATTTTTAGTGGCAATTTAGTCGTGTTGCAAGTGAGTGACTTGTAACACAAACTAACAATCATAAATGAAAGTTTTAGAAATTAATTAGTTAGTTGGTTTTCTAACTATATATACACATGCATTTCCTTGTAACTCGGCCAGATCAATAAGAACAAGTTTCTCTCTTTTATAATTTCACTTGAAATCTATCTAAATTGATCTTTCTCAATGCTCGTTACCTTGAGAACCAAGTAATCCCAAAAAGAAGAACACAAATTCAAAGAATTTTTTTCTTTTGAAATCAACTTCCACTTTGAAATTAATTTTCAGAGTGACATGAGAGTTGCTTGCAACTATTTTACAATAGGCGGGTTCTCAATTTATTTCAAAACCAACCTTTTGTGTAAGTTACTTTTGCAATACTCCACATCCTTAAAATATTATTGTTCAGATATTTTTAATGGAGAATGAATCTCCCTTGAAACAAGGTTGATTGAGATTTTAAATAGAGAAATCGTTGTAGTTGTTTCAGGGCTTAAATGAATGGTTTTGACGACATAGTGGTTAAAATACCATATGAATGAGGTGTCTTTTGCATCAACGAAAATATCTAAGGCAGATAAAAGAGAAACCAATGAAATGGAGCAAGGAACACAATCCCTACTAAACAATGTGAAACTTAAGGGTCATCACCGCTTTTCGGTTCTAATGACAACGACAATGTAACTCAATTAGAGATGTCTTTTGCATCTCTTAACGGGGATCCCCGCGGGAATTATCTGGTCGAAGCTCCGAAGTCAGAGACTTTTTCCCCCGTGGGGACGGGGATGGAGGGAAAAGTTCCACCGATAATACTTTGGGGTGGAGACCGGGGAAGTACCCCCCGCCCTGCAGATTCCCCGATCCCGGTCATACTATTTAACTTTTATATATAATTTTATAATTTTGCATGTTTTTTTATTAAAATTAATTAATATATTAGGAAATGAAGAGTCATTAGTGAATAATTTTATTTTTTTTATTTCATTGTACAATGTATTGTTTTGCTACCCAAGTACCCAACCATAAAAAAATGTATTCATTACATACAGATAGGGGTGAGAATAAGCCATACCAACTAACAGGGGCCTACGGCCTAACCTACATAGGCCTAGGTTAGGTCAGGTTTTTTCTTAAATAGAAAATTCCTAGGCTTTTTTATAAGCCTATTTAGCTAAAGAGGGTAGGCCACAGGTCATAAGAAAAGCCTTTTAAGCCTATCAGGCCGACCTATTTATAAAAAAATCAATAAATTTATTATTATTATTATATTGTATTTTGTACTTTGAATTAAAATATGAAAATAAAGCTTAGTTATTTTGAAGAACTTATGAAATAAGTTGAAAAAACATTATAAACAATGTCATAAGTTATTGTCATAAGTTTTTTTTCCCATAAATTCTCTCCAACAAATAGTATCGTCAAACTTATACTAATAGGTAAACTTGAATGAGAGAATGAAGTCAAACATTTAGTCTTAATGATCTTTTAATTTGTTAGTCTATTTAACATTAGTTGAATTTCTTATTTACAACAAATGAAATAGGTTTTTAAATAGGCTAGTAGGTCAACCAGACATTCGAAAAGGCCAGACTTAGGCCTAAAAATAAGCCTATGATAGGCTACAGGCCAGACTTAGGCTTTGAATTTTTTAGCAGGGCAGACTCAGGCTTGCCAAAGCCTAACTCGGCCCAGCCTATTTCCACCCCTACATATAGTGTACACACCATCTCCTCCTCTTCTTCTTCTTCTCTCAATTCTCCTTGTCTCATGTATTTCGCATCTCATATATTCTCATCATCATCATAACAACCACTCTCATTTGTTTATTGTGTTTATCGTAAGTACGCTTCAACTTCACTATACTTCAATTAGTTATTGTTTTTCATTCAATTAGTAAACTAGTGGTTATGTTATCGTAAATGAAAGTGTGTTTGCATTTTTTTGTTATTAATGCAAGATGTGTTCTTATTTTCAAAAAAAGAAAGATGCAAAATATATGTTTTTTTAAAATAATAATAGCGAAATACTAGTGTCATGATTTTGATCGAAAAGTATATAAATTTTGTTAAGACTCGATTTCCGTGGATCTCTGATTCTTCGTTGGAATCTGTGGGGATGAGAATGGAAAAAAAATATTGCCCCGTGAAAAGGATTGAGGCGGGGGGGGGGGGGGGGGGGGATTTTTTGACATCCATAAACTCAATTATAAATCTCCATTTCTTTTACAACTAACAAGAAAGATGAACTATCAAAGAGATATCTAAAAAAAATGCCATGATGATAATAACGACTACATAGTTATATATATAATTTCATTCGAAACTAGTATCTATTTTGTGTATGGGAAGATAAAAATAAAGTTAAATTTAAATGTGAATATTTCATATCTATAAAATTATTAGTAAAATAGAATAGAATAAAATAAATTTTAGTAATTAAACATAAAAAACCTGATAACATTTTTACAAATTTGTCATCTAGAAATTGGAAGTGTTTTGTCTTGTTCCCCATTGTGGCTTCAAGGAAGGTGGGCTACACTCTACATTGCAGGCTTCCATGACCAAATTCCAAGTAAAAATATCATTAATAAAAATAAAGAAAAAAAACCTTAGGAGAAGACATGCTATGAAATGTGAAACACAATTCCATATGCTTGCTTTGTCATGAGCATCCATTCTTTCTTTGTACTTGTCTTTTCCTGACTATTATTAAAAGTTGAAAGCAACCAACAGCCTGTCCTTATTATCACAATTTTCTTCTTTCTTTCCTTTCTCAAGCTTCACAAACCCCTATTTCTAGTAAAAATATCAATTCTCAATCAACTAGTTAAACTTAAACATAACTCACCCTTTTTCACTTTCATCTTCTTCTTTCTCTCTTTCTCTTCCCCTAACTTTCAGTTTCATCTTCATTTCATATACATTTTCCCCTCTCTTCTTAAATCCACAAATTTCATCTCCCTATTAAGGTAGGGTTTCAAATCCTCTCTATTTTTTTTTCTGTTTATTTATTTATTTATTTTGAGAAAAATGAAAAACCTAATCTTGTAACCATCCTCCTTCTTCAAGTTTACTTCCTTCATCATTTAATTATATTTTATTAGTTCCTTTTCTTACCTTTATTTTTTTTACAATTTTTCTTACCTTTTTTATACATGATTTTTTTTTAAATATTTATATAATAACATATAGTTTCTTCATTATACTATAATGTTTGTGACATTCTTAGTTGTAACTTCCACTTTCCTTGGAACTCTCTCAACTTGGCTGCTATAATAGTTTCATGTTTTGTTTCTTCAAATCTATTTGGTGCAGGTTTCTTCTTCTACTCTCTCTCTCTCTCTCACTCACTCTCTCTTTTTCTTAATAAGGACAAGCCAATGTCTATTATGTTTGCATAGGAAGTGCCTATTTTTTTATATGTCTTTCAATTTATTCAAAAAATTATTTTCTTTTATTTTTTTTCCATTTTAAATATCTTGCTGAATTTTAACTCCAATGATGTTTCTCTGTGACATATACTTAATTAGAGTTATTTTTGTAACTGTCTAGTCCAATGTTGTTTTTTTTCTTCATATATAAACTAATTTTATATTATTATTTTTATGCTAATTATAGAAGCATCTTGTGTTGTGTTATGGAGTGGAACAATTTGAAAGCACCTTCATGGGATTTAACTGAAATGGAACAAGGAACCTTAAACAACATAGAAACAATGGATGGTTCAAGGAGTTTTGGATTTGGAGATTATACAACAAAAGGGGAATTTTCTGTTGACTTGAAACTTGGTCAAGTTGGAAATTCTAGCTCCGAATCATCAAAATCCAAAGATGTTGTTGTTGGCGTTGGTGTTGGCGTTGGTGTTGGTGGAGTTTCGAAAATGTCAGCTTCGTCGTCTTCGACAACTTCGGGTTCTTCTAAGAGAGCTAGAGCTATTAACAATGGAACTCATGTTGTTTCATGTCTTGTTGATGGTTGTCAAGCTGATCTTAGTAACTGTAGAGACTATCATAGACGCCATAAGGTTTGTGAACTTCATTCCAAGACTGCTCAGGTCACTATTGGTGGACATAAGCAAAGGTTTTGTCAACAATGTAGCAGGTGAATTTTTCTTAATTCCTTAATTTTATTTATCTTAAATTTAAGGTAACAAGATTATGATAATTCCGAGTTCGGTCAGTAATATGACGTAGATTTATTAGATTGGTGTATTAGTGACCGTTTGAGATCTGATAGTTTGAAAAAAAAATATATTTTTAGATTTTTAAATTATAATTTAAGATATGAAATTTAAATTTAAATTGTTTAATATTAATCTAACGGTCATTAATGTCCCAAATGCGAGTGACCAGGGAAATCTAAGTAAAGATTGATTTGCTCGGTGTATTTTGCTATGTCATGACATTGTTTTATTTTCACTCTAGATTGTTAATGAATTTGTTATGATTAAAACATTTTTTTTGGTTATATCTTGTAGACATCTAATTATGTTCATGTATACATTGTTCATGTTAATTTAATAAGTGTTGTTTTTCTAGCATCTAATTTAGCCTAGAAGAGGTAGAGACACAATATAGACATATTTGATATTTGCATATTACAATTTTTTTATCAAAATAAGCGTTTATTTGTATAATTTATTTTTATAATAAAAAATAAAATAAATTTAAATTTTCTAATTAATATCTACTGATTATTGGTTTAATTATTGTGACATAGATATTAGCGTCGTTTTAAATTTTTGGAATTTCTATGTTAGTTAATCAAGATTTAACTGTGACAAATCAGAAAAACATCTATTTTATCGTATTTTAACTGTGATTAAAGATTTCATAAAATTCTTTTTAGTTACAGTTTAAATGTTGTCAGTTTTTGGATCTGTATGGTTGTTTGTCTTATACATCATTGAAGACGATCTTGATAGACATGATTGGAGTTGTTTGAATAATGAATCTTGAAATGTGTAGGTTTCATTCACTAGAGGAATTTGATGAAGGAAAAAGGAGTTGCAGAAAACGTCTAGATGGGCACAACAGAAGAAGAAGAAAGCCACAAGCAGAAGCTATAAGTCGATCTAGTAGCTTTTTGTCCAATTACCAAGGTTAGTTTCAAACTCAACATCAAAATAAGTGGACCCAAAACTTGTCTAGATATAGAGCAGACAATTACCGAGGATCCCCACATAGGTACAAACATCTTAAAAGAGTAAAAAAATAACACACAATTACATTATTCATTTGTTGCTATAGCTATAGCTACACCTATAGCTACACTTCACCATGCTTCTATACTATCCTTTATTTGGTCCACTCATTTTTGCTATGTTTGTGACAATCTAGTGGTCATCACTAAAACAACAAACATGTCACTGTGTCAGTACACACACAAAAGGTTTTTTAGCTTTTCAAACAAGCTAAACTAGACTGCCTTTTCTATTTGCTTCAATAATTCTTGCATCATTTGGATTTTTCATTAACACTTGTTTTTTTTTTGGTACATGTGAAACAATGATTAATTGTTTCTAGTGTTTGGTTTCTATTGATTGTTGCAAAAACTTCATCCTGTTTTTAGAAAATTTGTCTGCTAAACACAAATCAAAACTAAGTAATAATAATTCTATATTATCAATAAAAACCAAAACAGATGCTATGCTTACATATATTACTTTGGTCTTAAATAATTTTCTTTTATAAATTATTAATCCATAAATAGAGTTTTTCTTAATTACAAGGAATATAGTCAAAAATTTTGAAATTTCCTTTTAATTTTATATAAGAAAATGCTAGTAGTTAATTGATATATTTGTATTTTTTTCTCCTTCATGAGTCTTTTAACTCCTCAAATTTCATCAACCCTAAAAAAGTTAAGTGACACAAACAAGTGTAATTTATCCTAAAAAAAAACACATAGCGTTTGTGAAAAGTGGTTATATAAGTTAAGTATTACTCGTATATTTTTTGATCAGGAACTCAGCTGTTACCCTTCTCAAGTTCACATATATACCCTTCAACTGCTGTGATGAACCCTACTTGGGGTGGAACGGATGTTAGACTCCATAGCCAACACCAACAACAACTGCACCATCTTGTCCAAAAACAAGACCTTTTCCTAGGAACAACATCTCCGACAACCAACAACACCTACAAAGAAGGGAAACAAGTATCATCATCATCATCATCATTCATTCATCATCATCATGCTACTAACCACCAAAATCATCAACATCTTTCATCTTCTTCCATGATTAATCCGTCTTTTGACCGGACCAATCCTTTTTCAGAAAGATGCAAAATCTTCGGTGACAACAGCAACAACAACAACAATAACACTACTTGTGCTCTCTCTCTTCTGTCATCACCACCGCTACCAGTAGTATCACAGACACATAATCATCATCATCATCAGATGGTGAATACTACTCATTCATCTTTTATGCAACCCTTAGGCTTGAGTTTGCATGATCATAGCTTGGGGTCGGTGGACCATGTTTTGGGTCCAAATGATCAGAGTGGTCATTGTTCAACCATTTATAACATGGGATCTAATGAATCAGATTCTCAGGGAAATGATAATGATGCTCCTCCTCCTTTATATCCTTTTCAATGGGATTAGAATTATTATTATTAGAGGATTTTATTTGTTATAAGGTTGCTGTTACCTTAATTTGTGTAATGTTTGTGAATTCTTAATTTGTATGTTTTTAATGCATGAATGTAATAGACTATGTATCGTTTGAGAAAAACGTATTTGGTGTGTTTGAGGAACTAAAATCTGAATGTGTAGTAAAAGGGATAGGATTGTACATTCCTTTATTTATCCCTACTAAGGAGGAAAAAAATTCTAAATATCAACTACTTACAAATATCATTTGTCGATGAATAAAAAGGTGACATAAAACAAAGTAGGGCTAAGACCTTGAAATTTTATGTAGAAGCTCTTACCAAGCAATTATAATTATAAAAATAAAAACGTGGGTTTAAACCTATTTAAAATAAAATTGAAAATTAGTTTAAAAAATGATTATTATTTGGACGTTTTTTTTTTTTTTTATAAATATTTATACTTTTATTAAAATATATTAATAAAGTTTATATAAAAATAGAAGGTAATCGGACAATAAGTTGTGCTACTACTTTTTTTTTTTTTAATGATATCAATCATTTTAATGACTACTTTCATAGATTGGATCTCGGTCGGTCTATAACATTGTTATTCATAAGCCGATGAACTCTGTAAAAAATTAATAACTTATGATGTTAAAAAATTAAAAGTGTCAAAAATAAATGGTATAAAAACATCTAGATTAAACTTAGATTTTATTTTTAAATTAAATTGCATGTATATATTCTAATAATATTTTTTTTATCAATAGGGTATATTTCATTAATTTGTTATTGATTGCTTTTAAATATATTTTAAATAATTTTTATTAGTTTAATTTTATTTTTGATGTTTTAAAAGTAATTTATCATTGTTATTTGTAATGTTAATTTTAGTATGTAGCATCTATTATATTTTGCATAAAACACTTTATTTTATGGTATCTTTATAATATAATTTTTTTACATTTACAATTTGAATTTTAAAAAATTAATTAAAAATAAACCGTATTAAATTGAAGTTTGTGTATCAATCATTTACTGAACCACATTATTGTTCATTTAAAATAAATAATTAGTCTCAAAATGGATTCAAACTGCACACCAAATACCCTTATGAAAAGCATTCTTTATGAAATATGATAGTCTCTTGAATATAATAAGAATCATAAGAAATTATTGGAGGGTAGAGTATAAATATCTTTTGTTGTGAAATTTATATAATATATCACACCAAAAATATGATGACTGAGATAATTAAAAAAAAATGATACTAAAAAAAATTAGTGTGTCATTGTTAGCAATCCACACAATTTATTTTAGGTGAGGAACTTTCTTGTCCATTATACTTCTAGAGTTATTACAAGAGATTATAAAATCACTTAGATGAAAATAGTCATTAAAGTTCATTAGAACATTTCATATATTTTTTAATCTCTCTTTCTCTTAATATATAAATCACACAAAATTAAAGTGTTTAAAAATGTTTCTCAATCCCCTTTAATATTTCAAAAGGTCTTTCCACTATTACAAAAAATACATATAATGATGTCACCATTACCACGGTCCTTCGAAAGATCGTCGTGATATCTCTAAATTCAAGTATATATATATATATATATATATATATATATATATATATATATATATATATATATATATATATATATATATATATATATATATATATATATATATATATATATATATATATATATATATATATATATATATATATATTTTATTTTTTAATGGGTTAATAAAAACAAAATCTGCAATTAGTCCCTAACGTCAAATAGCACTAACATATGCTTATGTGGCATGCCACGTGAAACTTTTTTATGACTGGTCATACACGTGGCAATGCCAACATGTCAATGCCAGCATGACAAAAAACGATGTAAATGCCACGTGGTAATTGCTAAAACAAAATTTGATCTTCATATATTCTCTTTTAGTTTTGATGATAACAAAAGTATTAAAAGAAAATGGTTTATTTGATGTGTGTTTTATTTATGCAGGTTCTTGTACATAAATAATCAGAATCTGTTTATTTAAGATACACTTGGAGTTGCTTCATTGCTAGCTTCTGGTGTCAAAGTCTGAAGAACAATTTCTAGTGTGCTTGACGAAGACTCTGAATTGAAGGCTTCAGCATTCAAACGAGTTTCTACACTTAGTAATTGTATATCAGCTTCTGGTACCATTCAGAGTTGGTGATAAAGTTGTAGCCTATCCGTACTACTGAAAGCATGTTATACTATCTTATCAGCCTGTTAGCTCGAGTCTAAAAGATTGCAAGACTCAAGAAAAGCTGGTACATTCTGTGAATGTTTATTTCTATGGCTCTATTAGTACAGAACCTCTTGAAGACTCAAAGGTTAAATGTGTTACACATAGGATTCAAAAATCGGTTGTGCATCCATCTTCAACGTCACTTGTACTATGGAGCAAAAGCAAAGACACTTGATCAAGTCACCTTCTCAACGACTAGTTTCTGGAAAGACTATATATATATATATATATATATATATATATATATATATATATATATATATATATATATATATATATATATATATATATATATATATATATATATATATATATATATATATATATATATATATATATATATATATATATATATATATATATATATATATATATATATATATATATATATATATATATATATATATATATATATATATATATATATATATATATATATATATATATATATATATATATATATATATATATATATATATATATGGCTGAAGATTCAAGTCTGACTTTTTAATAAGGATTCTTTTGTTGAAGGAGTAGCAAGATCAAGCAATTATCAACTCTATGTAATATGCATATTTTCTGTTGTAGGTTGTAACTGTAAAAGCCTTAAGATTTCTTACCCCTGTATATATTTTGAAATCTTAAGTGCTTTAGGTCTTTGTTATGGTGATCTCCCGTACCTTTGATGTGTGCATCATGTACACCTTGTTCTCTATTCTGCTGAGCCTTCAGTAGTTTAGATTAAGTCTCCTGCTATGTGTTAGAGTAAAAAGTCTTGTCTCATTGGGATTCAAGCAACAAGTCTTGAGCCAAGATACTTAAGCCACGTAAGTATCATTGCTTAAATGTTTGAGTTGTGAAAGTCTTATTCATCTAGTATGATTTAGCAAAAAGAAAGTCTTAGACATGTGCTCTAAGAAAAGGTAAGTCTCAGTCAGAAGACAGATAAGCAGGCGGCTCAGTCTGATGGCGTGAGTAAAGAAAGTCTTAGACATGAGCTTTACGCAAAGGAAAGTCTCAGCCAGAAGACAAATGAACAAGTAGCTCAGCTAGATGATGTGAGCAAAGGAAAGTTTTAGACATGTGATCTAAGCAAAGGGATGTTTCAACCAGAGGGCAGATAAGCAGGCAGCTCAGACTGATGGTGTGTGCAAAGGGTAAGTCTTAGACATGCGCTCTAAGCAAGGAAAGTCTCAGACAGTTGGTCTGAGCAGTTGTAAAAGACTTATGCAGAAGCATGAACGATTTTAATCATGAAGTGATTATCATGAAAAGCTCTTGTGAGACAAAGGGAATATACTACTCTCAGTTAGGGTAGGAACCATTATAAATCTTTTGTGTCTTCTATTGTATCTGCTGCCAACTGAATTAACTCAGAATTTGAACATCAGTTCTGATTCTGAAACTCTTATCAGAAGCTAAATAATAAGAAAACGTGAAACACAACTCAACCCCCCCCCCCCTTTAGAGCACGGTCGGTGCTTAACACTTAACACTGGTGCATATATTGATCCAATAAGAAAGGTATATTTCTTCTTCAAGAAGGAATCAAATGCCACATGAAAAATATCATACGACTTTTCCTACCATATTCAAATGGGTGATTCCTTGGAATTTAAATGATGGAAAAGTTAAACATATTTTTAACTCATTGGACTTGATAAAGGGTTGTTAAAAGGTCTATAAAATATCCCTGGAAAAAGGAATTACTATAGAAGTTGATGGTGTTATAGATGATCTTTTTGAAAATTTCTTTCACCAACTCAGAAGATGCTCATTGAATATCTTCAGAGATGGCTGCATTCCGGTAGATGCACTATCTCACTTTTGAGTATATCAACATCATTGATATGTCTAATGCTTGGACTATCTTTGAAGTCTTGTGCTTGGATTTATGGGGATCAGTATGTGAAGCTTGAAGTAGTTACACTTCATCTAATCTTTTCAAGAAAAATCTGAGAGGACTGTTTCTTGGCTTAAATCTAAAGTCACAGTTTTTTTATGTTTACATCCTGAATCTGATGTATTCTGAAGATTTATTTTGCAGTCTTTACAGAAAATAAATGAAGTTGGATGATGAAAAACCATTCAACAGACCATCTTCTCTTCTTTAGCTTAAGTTCTTTGGAATGACTAATTATGAGAAACTTAGGTTTCTTGTTAGAAGGACTTTCATACTGGCTGAATGGTTTGTGATATCTGTTGATAGAATAGTAACTTCAAGAGCTTTTGAAATATGTGTATTTCAATTGATTTCCCAAATCTGAAAGTAAGAAGAAATTTCTACCAGAACCTAATATCAGATGCTCTTTAATGCTTAATCATTTGAAGCTGATATTAGTGCAGGATGCAGATGAAAAGAAGCATATGTGTCCTAAAATAAAAAAACAAGTATTGAAAAGCAAGAGATGTTGTTAAATCTATCTTGTTTTAAAATATTTGATTATATGGAGTTTGTTTTTTAAGGTGATCTCTTAAGAAACTCCATTGCTTCTTGGTTGAGGACCATTATGGAAGTTGTTTTAAAAGACACTTCTATGATAAACCTTTAACTTCTCTTTGAGCTCTGTTAGACGTGCTAAGATAAGACTCTGATTTTCTTTATGTCAATCTTTGATAGCTAACCCCATCTGGTTCGGAGCTTGTCAATGATTTCAAAGTCAAAAAATTTAATCCAATATAATGGGATTATTGCCATTGCTTAGAACAAGATTATGT